ACCTCCACTTGGGCCGCAGGCATCAGGCGGATTCCCTCTCTTGTGCCACATGCTCACACTCCCCTTGGGGGAGCTTGATTGGCAGTCACAGCGTCTAGCGGTGACAGGACCACGGCCACTACCACACCTCCCCACGGCCCTGCATCAGGCAGGAGGCACCATCCGATCAAGTCCACCTCATGGTCTGGAGGTTGAAAGGGTGAGATTGTGCGACTTTGGCCTCTCAGATGCAGTAGTACCCACAATCCAAAACACATGTCTTCCTCCAGAGCATATACAACACAGTGGCGAGTGTTTTCAGACTAGTGCGAAACCAGGGAACTGAATCCACACTCTTGCCCTATTCAGGGCATCCTAAACTTCCTGCAGAGCTTATATGACAAGGGTTGTATTGCATCCATAACAGGGGTTTTTGCAGCAGTGATCACAGCACTTCATGACGGACCAGACTGGTTCACGGCCTGTAGTCACCCACTGGTCAAACGCTTCCTGCAAGGGACCCGCAGGCTACGGCCACCTGTACGGGGTTGTGTTCCTCAGTGGGTCTTATGGGTACGGCTATTGAACCTCTGGACCAGGCGGATTTAGAAATTCTGTCACTAAAGACAGCTCTTCTCTTAGCTCTGATGTCAGTCAAGGGGCTGGGGGACTTGGGTGCTCAACCAGGGTGGATTGCGATGCTTGTGTATATCTTTCATGGGATGTGAGCCAAAGCTGGATAGCTGGAAACAAAACAATATACTGATTCCAGCTGGGAGTACATCTTATCCCCATAGCCTTCGCCTAGGTGTGAACCAATTCATAGTTTTCACTTAACGTCACACTCCAATGAAAACGCTCCCTTGGAGGGCAAAAAGATGTTAATTTCCGATGCTTGCCAACCGATATGCAAGTGATACACTGTTACTTTGAGTTTGATACTTTTTGCGTTGCCAAAATGCTGGATGGTAGTTGCACTTTCGGATTTACTAATTGAGGAGGAGGAGACAAGTCTGACCTGTGTTAAAATAGGTAAAAATAGGCTAAACATTACTGCAGTCAAGCGGCGGCAGGGACCTGGCGGTTTTTAACTGTAGAAATGTGGCAGCGGATGCTGTAACGTTATATGGATCGGATATGCCCAACACTTGCAGTTTGTGATCCAAATAAAATTTGACTGCTTTTGCGGTGACTCTATGGGGGAGTCACAGTGTGAGAGCCACTATGTTGATCTGTTGTTTTGCCCTCCAGGTCACAGCGCATGTCACATGACTGAAAACTTAGCGATAGCCTAGCTGGAACTAGTGTCAGTGCTGAGTTTCAAAAGGAGATGAGCAATGCACGCACAGGGGTTTCATTGGGCTCCGATTTTTGCCCCTCAACTGCCCCAAGCTTTTTGTTTCTAAGGGCAATGAGGCGCAGCCTTGAAGGATAAAACAATAGCGAAGCCTGTCATATTAACTGTAAATTATAATGTGTGAATTTGTAAAAAGGAATACGGTTTCTTTCTGTATATCAAATAATCTACCTAAAACAAAAAACATGATTTTTACACTCTTACGTTGTAATTTTTACTGCATTGTATTGCGTATTGTATTACAGTTTATCTGCGTTTAAACTAGTCATCTGTAAATTGTACAAATAAATATGATACTTATCTTACTTTAAAATTAACAGTTGTGTTTGGTTCAGTGTTTAGCAAAATATTACTGCAAATAAAACATTGCTTTACTGTTTTTGTATTAACAGTATTTTTATGTCATCATTTTACAGCATTTTACTGTTAATTTCACAGACTTTTTTTTACAGTGTAGATTATATTATACCTATATATTATACTCAGCTGAGAGCAGGAGGTGTCCACTGTGCTGAAATGATGCAGACATTTTCTGCAATTTCAGTACAATAACCTCCTGAATCATGACAACCACATTTCTCTTCCACAGAGAGGCAAGACATTATGTTGAATAAGAAAGAAAAGTGGCCTGAAAGCAGACCAGCAGTCAGATTTTGCGTTTCATCCAGTTTCTGGAGTCGTGTGGTCTTGTCACATGATCAAATTGAAACTTATTGAAACTAACTATTCCGCATTCATTTACATATTACCCAGCAATCATCACTGCATATGTGGGCTATGTGACACGAACACCAAAGAAAATAATACTAAATTCATTCTGTTGAATCAGTGGAATCATTTTTTTAATATTTCACCATATACCTTATAGCCTACTGCTTGCTACAAGCATCTGTGATGTCAGACACCATGGGAAAGGCAGAAATGCACATATGAGTGTATATATAGCACTTAATCGCCTAGGAAGTGTGTGGTTTGAGGGGAAGTGGGCATGAACTGTTGAATAATGAGAGTTGATGCATTTTTACCAAACAACCGACAAAGACCACCTCGTAACTCAGCGAGGCCGCCCAGTGTGAAGTGTTGTGCAAGTAGTCAATAAGATGACAAAATTATCTTTTCAAGTGTGATCCACACATCTGTTTAGCCTAAAGTAAGTTATGGCAAGACCTGACATTTTGGTTTGTCTGTTTCTTAGGTACGGAACTAGAGGCATGTTCAGTTTAGCTATAAGAATCCCAGACAACCAGAACCAGAACCTTAACCAGATTCTTCAGCAAGTCTTCGGAAGTGATCCTGGTAACAATGTGAAGAATACGATCAACAGTGGTGAGGTGTACATCGGCAACAGGGTGGTCGCAGCCAAAGTCCTGCAGCGGCCGACTGGAGGAGCTGAACACGCAGAGTCACGTGTTGTGGACCACTTGGACCACTTATTCAACAGCAATGCTAACGATCACGATTGGTTGCTTTTCTATGTTTATGCCTCCCCTTGTGTTGAAAAGTGTTCAAGCAACAGACATCGTGAGAGCATTCTCCAAAGATTAAATCACATCCGTCAATGGGATAATTATGCTGTTGTGTTTTCTACAATTTTCATACCCAGAACTGGTCAGCCCAACACTGACCGACAACGGAGTGCAGCTCTTCAGCGCATCGGGAGTTCAGTTGGTCTGGACAACATATTCCGTTGTGCCAGACAAGATCGTTGGATGCAGTGCACCAGCTGCTCCGTTGGTGGTCAGGTTGCACCTTACTGTGTTAGCGATAGTTAACAGCCTGGTTCCAAACTGTCCTCCTCTTCAGGTTGAGGGCAGCGGGCTCACAGTGTCACTGTGGTAGAAACTAAACACTGGCTATTGTGGGTCAAGCCACTGCTGGATTGCCCTCCAACATGATTTTAACTATTACTGCTCCTAAGCCATTCTTTGTCTAAACCGAGTCTCTGCTCCTAATGCAATCCTCCCATCACATCAGTGTGCGTCCCTGTAGGTTTGTTAGAACCTGCACTAGAGTGCATGCAAGTCTCATGAACCCACTGAGACTGAGATAAAGAAATGATTTATACTTAAAATGCATTTTTTTTATTTCATACTACAAGATTGTATCTAAATAATTTGTTATGATTCAATAACTTCCATCTACTTGCCCAGTGACCCAGAAAGTGGCACCACTAAATCCATCAATACATATCCAAATTTGGATAGTGCAACATTCCTATTTTGTGGGTTTTGTTTCCCCGTTTACCTGTTTTATAAATCAACCTCAGTATTTACAGTTCATGTCACTGTACTCTATATACTTCTGTTAAGGATCACCAAGTCCTCTGATTTTCTGATTAAAGCTTGGCTCAGCATCCATCCGTCTGTTTGTGAATCATTTGGGAACCCCTGCAGTAATATTATGTGTAACACAGTTTTAAACATGTAGGCAAACAGTGAAGATTATTATTACTCCACTCTTCCTTCATCTGGTGAGGTTCAACTGTGTCTGTAAAGGAGAGATGTTTGATAACATATCACTCATTTTGGTGTGCTGTAAAGTTTTGATCCACACTGAAATATCTCAATTATTTTTACGATTGCAACTAACAACTCTTGCCATGAAGTTTATGGTCCCCAGAAAATTCATCCTAATGATTTTGATAATCCTCTGACCTTGTAGTGTCAACAGCTGGTCTATGTTTTCACTTATCCAGTGACATATTTCTTTCTACCTTTTACAGAAAGTCCCACAGCACCTCCATGAGGCTGACATTTGTAGTTGTATTTGATGGACAGAATTTTTTAAAGACATTTGTGTCCCCCTAAGGCTGAATTTTAATACCTTTGGTGATCCCCTTACTTTTTCCTCAGGTGCAAGTTATTGTCGAGCAGGCCTACTTATGATTTTGACCAAATCCCTGCAAGGCTGATGATATTCCCTGTGTTAGTACTGATGTTTAGCACAGCTATTAGCATGATAACATGCTAAACAAATCACCAGTGTGTCTTAAAGAACTGCTAGCATGGCTGTAGATTCAGAAAAAATACAGAGTAAATACAGAGACGGCACACTGGGTAACAGAGTATGATTACATTTGCGTCTGTCCCCTTTAGTTTTCAGTCGAGACAAAGACAAAAGACCTCTGCCTGAGGATCTCAAGGTACGTGCTGCTGCGTATGGAACTAAAAGTTCAGAAATATAACGAGGCGAGAAGTCATGAAGACCTTTAAAAGTGATCAATAAAATGTGATGCGACTATATGTCTGTTTTGGTTTAAAGCAGGCAGCTGAGTTCTGGCAGTCTGGAATTTTTGAGTTAAGCAAATGAAAAGGCTGTTGCAGTAATCCAGATGTGATGATATAAAGGCGTGTAGGATGGTCTCAGTGTCCTTAAAAGTTAACATAGATCGAATTTTTGAGATGTTTCTAAGCTAGTAACCTCACAGCACAAGTGCAGGAGGCAGTAACATGACTCTGTATTTCTGATGAAATCTCCATCTTCAATCTGCAAGTCAGGATGAAGAGACCGATTTGACAATACTGTCCAAAGCACAAAAATGTGACAGCACAAATGATTCTGCCTATGTTGAACTTCCTAAAACTGCAGAAGCTTTCATATGTTCTTCCTTATACATAACACAGAGACATGTTCAACTAAGAACATGAGGGTTTGGCCATGGTCAGGCACTCCTCTATAAAAATGTAACTTCCTTCTAACTTTTTTCACTCAGACCGCACCTTGCACTGTGAAGGATCAACAGCATCTGATAGACGTCTTTCTCCACCAAAGCAGGTAAAAGATTTTCACTTCTAATACTCCCTGAAAGTTCAGAGAGAGTCAGGGTACTAGGTGCTGTGGGTACATCATTTTCTCGAATCTTTCAAAGTCTATCTAGTGTAAGATTCCCTGTTTGTATTTCCCTGGACGGTGTTTCTGTGCTGCAGTGGTGGGCTAGTAAAACAAATGAATAAAATGCTAATGAGATTACACCTTTCATATACTAAATATGTGAACATATCCTTTTAAGAATTTTTACTTATAAGTTGTGTGTCTTTTCTGTTTTTAGATCCTGCTGGCAGCAGCAGTGAAGGTGAGCAATGTCATTCAAGGCACTTTATTTTAAATGCTAAATGGTTAAGTCAGTGATCTTTTATCTTGCTCTTTCGTAAACATCTGCAACTACTGCATAGTCAACTTGGATTCACAGCACAGGGTACAGGTATACTCAAAGTTCAATTTAAGACCTTTTTAATACCACCTAAGTGGAAATGTAATGCCAACGTCATTGCCATATAATGTATATCAGTATGAATTTTAAGCCAGAGAAAATAATTATTTACCAAGTTTCCTGATTTTAATAAATGATTTTATTGTAATATTCACATTCAAATTTAATATATAGCTTTTTGAGGTGTGTTTGTACTCTAATAACATTAAATGAATAAAATATTTGTCGCATCAAGATTTTATATCCATGCATTCAGTTCTCAGCAGGCACGCAGAACTCAGCACAACACCGGCACATCTGGATAATGTAACATTAACATTGTTACCAGGATCACTTCCGAAGACTTGTTGTAACTGACCAGGAACTTGCAAGCGGTCTCAGATCCGTGTGTTGCGCTAACCTCAGCACCACTCCCCAACTTGTCCACGTCTCTGGCTTTCTGACCTTCAGACACCTGCCCATTAACGGATGTTATTTTTTTCTTTCCTAACAACTGAGTGACTCATGGCAGAGCTCGTGCACCGCAAACCGGGGCTGGACAGGGACAGTTTTTAGTCGGATATCCCTCACCAATACACCATCACCATCCTTGCTTTTAAGGGCTTAGATTAGCGGTTTGACAAAACTCTTCCCCCACGAGACTTGACACTGCCATGACAACAAGAAAATAATATATTTTAATAGGCTTAGTATTTGGGGGAAAAACGCATAACGCAAGGAACAAAGAGCAGAGGGGCAGTTATATAAAGGTGCATATGCCAGATTACCAATCCAGCCCTGCTGCAAACACTCCACACTCAAGAGCGTGAAGATAAACTTTGACATAAACAGTACCTGTACTGTCATAACATCCAAGTCACTCTGAGTAAATTGTAAAGTCGCACACAAAAATACTTCTTTATGATGTTAAGGCATTTATTTAATTCTACGAAAGGATAAGAAAAGATTTAAGACTTTTGTAAACAAAATTTATTACTTTCAAGGCCTTATTTTTAGAATGAGTTTTTTTATAGCCTACTTTTTATACCCCGCCGGTATCCTGCAGCAGTTACAATGGCTTCTTACAGTAACACAAAGTAGCTGAGCTGAACTGTTCGTGTCCGTGTAAATTTGACCCCAATGTAGGCCTACCAACTGTACAGTTAGCTGTGAACTACTTAGTAAAAGACATTTCATGTTTAGCCACCAGGTGGAGATCAGTTGACTGCTCTGGGTCTCTCTTCATCTGACTGACCAAGACATTATGGTGACAGGACTAATAAGTGAGAAACAATGGTGGGGGAAAATATGAATATGAGTGGTAATAAAGTAAACATCTCTGTTCTGAGTTACTCAGTCAGTCCCTCCAGGAGTTCGGGGCCTTTTTTGTGATTGTTGTGACCTAAAATGCCTGATTTTGTGGCAGTTTTTCTAAAAAATTGCGATGAAAGTTGTGATGTTTTGGGGCGTTTCTTTGCAATGGAATTGTGGAAATAAGTGACAGCTGCAAAGTTAGATGTGTGCAGGTCTAACCCTGACACTGCACATTTAAACCAGCTTTCCACGATTCTTTGCAATAGATGATTTTATTTAATGTCCGACCACAATACTGCACGCTTTGCACAACAGTTTGCCCTCGCTTTGGTAAAGAAGATCTGCATGCTATTTTTCACTGTCTTTTTTATTTTTTGTCCGCAAATGTGAGACGTTGGTATCACACATGTCCGCTGTGTCTTGTGAGCAAGGAAGTGACAAGCTGATGTATGATGTGTGTTTTGTGGGAAATAGGTCCACTTTGCAGAAATTAAGAGATCCCACTTATGTCCTCATATCTCTGGTTGTTGTGGTGTTGCTCATTAGAAACCATCAGATTTAATCCAATTACACAGCTGGAGAGCCATTTCTGAAGGATGAGTATGGGATGCAGTTTGTAAAAGTTTGACTTTAACTATTACTCACTTTCTCAAGATTTCTTCAGCTGTAGCCTCACTAAAGGCAGCATGTGGTGGAAGAATATACATTTTGAGATGCGTCTTGTTGTCATTCTTATCCCTGATTCTAATCCTCTCTGCTGGTGCTGTTTGTCTATCACTCTCAGATGGCTGTCCTGTGCTGGATGGCTGTAACGCTGGGTTTGTTCCTGTCTGCTGGAAACAGTTTGGCTGATGTGGACCAGAACAAACTTGCGGGAATTGTAACAGAGATACTGAAAAGGTGAGTCATAATTTTTCAAGAATAAAAAGGGAAAAACGGATACTTATTATGATTTGCTAATCCAATTCTCATTCTCATAATAAATACCAGACAGGTTGACCATCTTCAGCTTCCTTTTCACAAAACTAAACAGTATTCCAACAAATTAAGCTCATTATCAAGAGCTCATTAACTTTTGAAAATAATTTAATTGGAGATGTATAATTAGTTCCGGATGTATGTCCAATCCTTTTTTTGCTTTTATAAATGTATTTTATGATAAAAATGTCTGCTGATTTGATGAACTCTTCAGTCCATCAAGGGTGTTTCTCATGGCCAGTTATTTTCTTTCTATTTTGCTAATTCGTGTTGTATTTATTAGTTTAGTACTTTTTTCATTTCTTCTCTTTTTTCTTAAGTAGAGGGGAGGCTCACTGTTTAGCATATGTAGCATATGTCTTCTGGACCTCTGCCAGTGAACATTTTACATTTTACATTTTTATTCATTTAGCTGACACTTTTATCCGAAGGAACTTACAATTGCTATACATGTCAGAGGTCGCACGCCTCTGGAGGAACTAGGGGTTAAGTGTCTTGCTCAGGGACACAATGGTGGACGTGTCACTGTGGGGAATTTAACCCGGGTCTCTCACACCAAAGGCATGCATCTGTGCCGTCACCCCCCCCCCCCCCTATATGAACATGATAAACTATAACAAGTTGCCTTTGAAATTCCTTTTCATAATTAAAAAAATAATTTGCAGTCCAAAGACCAGCTAATAGTTTGTTTTTTAATCTACATGTTTTATGTTGAAAAATCTATATTTACACATTTTAAAACAATACAGTTTACTGTTGTATTCTATGATCAAAACATCCTCCAATCTATCAAACTTTCTGAACTTCTCTTCTGTATCAACTGATCAAACAAACGATAACATTCTGTATGTGTCCTTTGCCAGGTATAGACCAACCTACATGGGCAGCCGGGGTCAAAGGTCAGTAATAAAATAAACGTTACTCGTATACACTTTCAACACAATATTTACAGTGCACTATTACTATAGCAGAGAACAAATGACTGAGTTTCCATACAGTTATTTAAATTCACCAAATTACATAAAGTTTGGGACAAGTAGTTTAATTAGTAGACTAACATGTGGCTGAAGTCTACAGTTTAGTTTGTTCTGGTTTATCATACTTTCTATACTTTAGTAATATACTGGGATAAATGACAACAGGTTTGGTGTGTCTGTTTCCTTTGACAGAAGAAGACCCATGTTCAGTCTGGCTGTAAGCATCCCATTCGACAGTGGCAGGAACATTTATGACATCGGTCAAGTCACTGACACCCGTGACCAAGTGTGGCAACGTATTTTGAACAGATGTGAAGTGTACACCAGTCAGAGGATGGTCGCAGCTACAGTTCTGAGATGGCCCAATGTTGTGGATCAGTGTCCTGAGGGACGTGTGCAATGGTCTATTCCAGCAAAATGTGGTCAAACGTGGGCTGATGTTCAGAATCTGTGTCCTACCGTATTTAAAGATGGTAGAGCTGATCATGCAGAGTACCGTACTCTACAAAACTTTAATACCTTGGTGAGCGATCATGACGAAAATGATTTATTGCTTTTCTACGTTCTTGCTTCCCCGTGTGATAAAAGATGTGCAAGTGAATCGAGTCGCTTGAACATTCTCAACAGCATAAAAATGATTAAACAGTGGAAGAACTATGCTGTGGTGTTTTCCGATGTATTCAAGCCCCGTGGTAGTGAATCCATACCTGAACAAGACCTACGCGGAGCCATTGAGCGGCTTGGTCAGTCAGTTGGTCTGAGCAATATATTCCGTTGCAACGGAGATGTGGTGCAGTGCACAAGCTGCTCTAGTGGTACACAAGTTACACCCTATTGTTATTCAGACACAGCACAACCTGGTCCCAGCCACAACTTGCCATCCACTTCATACAACCAGCCTCAACGAGGCAGACGTCGTTCCCCCTCACAAGGTGGTCAGAGTGACAGAGGCAAGCAAAGCAACAATATCAGTCCAAGACCTGGGGTTTCCACAAATGTTGACAGTGGGGGTCAGGGTGGCACGGTCAGCGGAGGGGGCAAGCGCCGGCGAAAGCGTAAAAAAGGGAAAAAAAGTAATAATACTAATGACAGTGTTTCTGCCTCACAAAGTGGTCTTGGGGTCAGTAATGCTGATGTTGACAGTAACACAGGAGGAGGTCAGGGTGGCACAGGCAGTCACACAGTCCGAAAAGTGGGTGGACGCAGAGTATGGACAAAAGGCAGAGTCAGGGGGAACAAGCCGAAGAGTCAGCAGGGGAAGAGTAAGAAAAAAAAGCAGACAAATAAGAAGAAGAAAACACAAAACAAAGGGAGAAAACAATGGAGCCAGGATGTACAGGGGAGGGCTAAAAAGCAGAAGGGGCAGAAGGGTAAGCAGCAACAGAGGCAGAGGGGTGGAGAAATTAGGAGAATTGATCAGCCACAGAAGAGGAGGAAGCGGAGGAGGGGCTAAACACAAAAGTGTTAGCAGGAGCAGAGGAGGAGGGAGGAATAGAAGACAGTGCAGGGTGAGCTTAAAAAACAAGTCTGCATAAATATGATAGTACTTGATAAAAGAAGGCGAACTGCACGATAGATTTGAACTGCCATAACTCAGTGGTTGTGAGTCTGACTCTGGCCTTGAAATACACAATTCATCCTTGCACAACGCGCTAATATACTAAGATTGAAATATTTTCCATAAATCATGGCTGCCATCAGAGAGTCAGTTGAGTCTAGCCTGTTGTCTACGCGACATATCTAGTCAGCTAACTTGAGGTTTGTTGCTTCATTTACATATTGTCCTATTTGTATGCAGCCCTTTTCACATAACTAGCAGATATTTAAAAAAAAACCCACACATATTACTACCCTGACTGGGTTGTAAAGAACTTTGCCGGTAATTGTCTCATGTCTGACTAAAATTACAAGCTAAAAAATATTTAATAGATTTTGAACTGTTATAGCAGTACTGATATCAATACATTTTGCAGCTAAATCATCCCGACCAACAGATATCTTCCTTTTGGAACACACTGAGGTCTAACTGTTTTGCATATTTACAAACACACAGAACACGTGTGGGATGAGTATGAGAGTTGGACGTAGTTCTTTGTAATATTATGGTGTGCAAACTGTAGGATGAGAAGGAGGGGCAGTCCAAGCATTTTGTGCCAACGTTCCACACAGATTTTGATTTGGTGTTTAAAGTGATAATTTTCATTTTGTATGTATTAACTAAAACTTGTAATTGTATACTCTACTTCTGTAAAGCAAATCCTCTAATGTTCTGTTATTTCTGATTAAAGATTGGCTCAGCTTCCATTCTGTGTTTTTTGGAGTCACTGCATGACACATTCTATTTTACAGTTAAGATCTTACAGGCTAAATCTATTCTGACTAAGATAACACCTTTATAGCCTCTTCTTCAATCTTGGCACAAATCACTTTAATTCAATTCAATTCAAATCAGCTTTATTGGCATGAATTTATAAAATCAATATTGCCAAAGCTACATATATATTAGGATAAATAAAGGACAATTAATTTCATACATTTCATTAAATAAATAAAACTGTAAAAGTTGTGTTTGTGTGTGTTAATAAAATATATATATATTTTGGAACACAAATTTTTTATTGAATTTTACACAGGCCTGATACATGGCTGATATATTTTGCATCAAGATACAGGAACATGTAAGATACAGGAACATACAATTGTCCTGGAAACAAACTCCGGCATTATAGTCCAATGACCACAATCGGACGGAGCAGTGCGTATCGATGGGAGTGGGTGAACACTAACAAAGATTATTTGACCACATTACAAAGGTATCACAGTATAACAGGGTTCCGTTAAGACAACCAAGTAAATAAACAAATCTTAGTCAGATTTATCACCAACCTTTACATAGTCCCAGAACCTTTCCCAAAGGGTCACCCCTCCCCCAAGGTTCAGCATACATTCATAAGATGTCATTTCCGCCTTTGCACTGGCCCAGTCCTCCACTCGTGGGGCATATGTTGTCTTCCAGTGTCTAAGAATAATTCGACAGGCCTTTATTGTGCCCACGGAGACAACAGAGAACTCACCTTTGGATATACTGGGAATTTGATATTTATCCCCCAATAAACACAGTTCTGGACTTGATGGGATTTCTGAACCAAACCAATTGCTTAAAGTATTAAGAATCTGAGTCCAGAAGGGCCTGAACAAATCACATTCCCAGATACAGTGAAAAAAGGTTCCAATTTCACCTTTACATTTCCAGCATAAATCATCATTCAGTAGTTTCATTCTATACAATCAATATGGTGTGTAATAATATCTATGTAATATTTTGTATTGAGTGAATTTACCCCTAGCTTCTCTCACGTATTTACCGCAATGAGCCACAATTTTTGCCCTTTTATCACATTCAATCTCCCTACCGAGATCCTTCTGCCAAACCATTTTCATATGTTCAGAGTCATTGCTTAGAGAGGAGTTAGCCAATTTATAGAAGTATGAGGCTTTATGTTGTCCAGGTGTTAGTTTCATATAATTTATAACAATATTCTCAGCAATGTTGTACGGCTTAGAGGTAATGCAACTCCTTATCTGCAGATACTTAACCCACCAGGTTAAATCTCTCTGATAGTTTATTATATGATAGGGACACACCATCTTCAAATAAACCGCCAATGATACTCAAGCCTCTTGAGTGCCAGCGTTTCCAGTAGACAGACTTCTTCCCAATACAGACAGCAGAGTTACCCCACAGTGATGAATACCCTTGCATGGTGTGTGTAAGTTTAAACACTTTGTGGGCTCTGAACCAGACATCCTTTGCGTGTAAAAGTACCGGGTTTGTAATATTAGACCCTTTTTGGTACAATACTTCCATGGGTCTAAAAGGTAAACTTATTGCCTTTTCAATATCCATCCAGGCTTCTTTGTCCTCCGTAACATGCCAGTATCTTGCTAATTTAGCCATCTCAAAGGCCAGGCAGGCCAGCCCCCCGTTCTCTTTATGTGCACATAGCTTTCTCAGTTTAATTCTTGGTTTTTTACCATTCCACAAAAAATGTTTTACCATGTCATCAAGTTGTCTAAATTTAGTAGATGGTATTTTAATTGGAAGCATCATTGCCACATAACTAAACTGCGGAGCAATTAACATTTTTATGATGATAACTTTTCCCCATAAGGTGAGTTTTATCTTTTCCTACTTCTTGAGGTTCGTTTTAATCTTCTGAAGTAGGGGGTTAAAATTCAGTGTCACTATTTCATCTATGTTCTCTGAAATGCTTGCGCAACCACCTGAATTTAAACTTCTCTGCCATAGATGAAAGACACGATTTGGAAAGTGGCATCGCTTCTGATTTACTCCAATTGATGGCATAGCCTGAAAATTTAGAAAAGGATTGAACGGTATTCATCAACTGTGGTAAAGATGTTAAGGTGTCATAAACTACTGCTAAAATGTCATCTGCATATAGTAATAACTTGTGTTCTTTACCTCCACCCTCAACTTCTCTAATTTCACTGCTAAGACCTCCAAGAAAGAAATAAACAATAATGGGCTCAACGGACATCCCTGGCACGTTCCTCTTCAATCCATTTGTCATCACTGCTGTCTTAGGTTCCTTATACAACATTTTTATCCATTTAATGAAATTTGAATTAAAGCCGAAATGGGACGGGGTGGAAAGCAAGAATTGCCACTCCACATTGTCAAAGACCTTCTCCACATCCAGGGAAATGGCGATAACTGGGGCGTTTTGAAATCGGCTTAGCTACATTAAGTGTAACAAAAGTCTGACATTGTCAGTTGAAGTTCTATTTTTCATAAAGCCTACTTGATTGGGGTGAATAATACTCGGCAATACCTCCTGTAGACGTGTAGCTAAGATTTTAGTCAGAATTTTACAGTTGAGATTGAGCAAGCTTATAGGCCTATAATTGGAGGGGTCCGTTACATCCCTGCCTGCTTTGGGAATCAGTGAAATCACAGCTTCATTAAACGCTGGGGCTACTTAACCTTTGTCAAACATCTCCTGATATACCTTACGTAACACCGGAGCGAGGATATCTATAAAGGCTGGGGAGGCCGTGGGCGTGTCAGTATGCTCATCCTCTTGCAGCGAGCTTTTCCGGGCAGCCATGCGAGTTGGGTTTCTGAAGTATTTTGATGTCGCCATCTTATCCAGGCCTTTCTTCCACCGCAAATTTTGGTATGGTTGGTTACAGAGTGAGCACAAAATTACTATTAAGTGTGCGTCTTCACATTTTAAACTCAGAAATAACTTGTGCAGGGCGAGACCTCCTCTACGGCCATCTTGGTTGCTGCACCCACGTGAACTTCTGAAAATAATATGTTAAATTAAAATAAATAAATAAAACAGTAAGCGCCTTTAAATACTTTTGAATTTTTAGATATAACATGGTGCCATGGGTCTTGTGTTGGTCACAAATTTAATCTGCACAACTTGGATATCTTTAAAGGTACTGCCATATACTGTATATAATGTGTGGCTCAGCTTAACAACGTGGTGTACTTCAACTATTTGCATTTCTGTGTGAACATTGTGTCGGCAATTGAAATCTTTTCAATGATAACAAAATAATTATTTGACCTGCACACTATATCTTGCCTGTTTTGATATACAATACCAGTCAAAAGTTTGGGGTCACCCAACAAAATGGCATGGTTTATTTGAAACCTCACACTTTCTTGATTAAATGATAGATGGTCACTTCATATGTACCATACAGTCAAGCTGCTCCCACAATAGCTCAATAGGGTTGAGATCTGGCATCTGCGCTGGCCACTCCAGAATACCAGAAGAATGCTTCTTCCATAAAACCAGTTTGCGCTGTTCTGTAAACACAGCAATTCACACATTTGTATGAGATCAGTTAGTCAAAACAAACACCGACTATTTTTAGAAGAAAGTTCTTTTTTGAGGCAATAAAGCCACAAATGCTGATGCTTCAGATACTGAACTATCCTAAAGAAGGCCAGGTTTAATGCTTCTTTAATCAGCACAGCTCTTTTCAGCTGTGTGCTAACATAATCACAAAAGGGTTTTCTAATGCTCAGTTAGCCTTTGACACAATAAACTTGGATTAGCTAGCACAATGTGCCGTTGAAGCACAGGAGAGATGGTTGCTGAAAAGCGGCCCCTGTAGGCCAATGTATATATTCCACTGAAACTCTGCCCAGTCAAATAAATACTCAAGTGAATGACCAAGCCATTTAAAAAGGCAAATGACACAAACACACAGGGCCTAGAGCAGTGGTCAGTAATAGGCGGCCCGCGGGCCAAAATTGGGCCACCAACAATAATATCTGGCTCGTGACCAGATTACTTTAATAGCAGCAAAAAACAACAACATTATAGCGGCTGGTGCTGAAACAGATCTCAGTCATGACAGCAAAAGTTACTCACGTAATCACTTCTTCTTAAGTGATTGTGCCTACAAAATAAAATCTTTGCAGCGCTCCTTTATGTTAATTGAGAGCTTTTACTTTGAAAGGTTCTGAAGGAAATTCAAAAAAGCCTCTGGCTTGATTGACACTCCTCTGAAAAAGCCATCAGAAAACGTGAGATCGGATTCCTAGAGTTTGGTAATAGCACCAGTGTACTTCGATAACGTTTATGGTGCTGCCAAACATGGTGGGGTCTCCCAGCTTTGCAGAGGCTCGCTGTCAGGAGTGTCTTGGGAGTAATGAAGATTTTGATTCCATGTCCATGAAAGTAGTGGTAATTACATAATTTCTTTTTGTGTGAAGTGGAAGACTGTCAGTGTAGCGTCAGTTACTGGAATCCAGCTAAACCTGAAACCTCTTTTACATCTTTGTCTCTTATCATCTCTCTCATGTTGAAGTCTGAACTCCACAAGCTACACTTTATTGAAAGCCCCTTTATTTTCTCTCTTTCCTAATTTAGATTATTTTAATAAAGCTGAAAGAATCTGAATGTTTAGATAAGGTTGCGGTGCCACACTAAGAGTATGGCCATGAACTTCTCTCCTATAAGATGTCCCTTCAGACTGTGTTCACCTAACCTCCTAATACTGAAGTGAAGAAGAGGACGCTTCAGAGCAGAACAGACATCTTTCTCCATCAAACAGGTGAAAATTGCACATATTTGTTGTTGTTACAGTTTTTTACAACTGCTTACACACAAAATCTTTACATATCACACGATTTTTGAAACCTCTCACTCAAAGAGCAAAACTACTGTCACAATCCAGTCCTGAGCTTGTCTGGGTTATATGATTTTGGCCATGCCTTCCCTGTGGGTTTTGATTTTGGTTTCTCTGTGTCTGGGTTTTGGGTTTCAGTCCTGTCTGTCTGTGGTCTTGTATCCAGTCTTCTTGGTGTGTTTTTGCGTTTAGATTTGGTCCTGTCTGTTTATGTCTTGAGTTGGTCTAGGTGGTTCTGTCATCAGCTTGTTCTGTGTGGTGGTTCTAGTCTGATCTGTCCTGTTATCTTGGTGTCAGCCTTAGGACTTGTTCAGTTCTGTTCCGAAAAGTGGGTGGACGCAGAGTATGGACAAAAGGCAGAGTCAGGGGGAACAAGCCGAAGAGTCAGCAGGGGAAGAGTAAGAAAAAAAAGCAGACAAATAAGAAGAAGAAAACACAAAACAAAGGGAGAAAACAATGGAGCCAGGATGTACAGGGGAGGGCTAAAAAGCAGAAGGGGCAGAAGGGTAAGCAGCAACAGAGGCAGAGGGGTGGAGAAATTAGGAGAATTGATCAGCCACAGAAGAGGAGGAAGCGGAGGAGGGGCTAAACACAAAAGTGTTAGCAGGAGCAGAGGAGGAGGGAGGAATAGAAGACAGTGCAGGGTGAGCTTAAAAAACAAGTCTGCATAAATATGATAGTACTTGATAAAAGAAGGCGAACTGCACGATAGATTTGAACTGCCATAACTCAGTGGTTGTGAGTCTGACTCTGGCCTTGAAATACACAATTCATCCTTGCACAACGCGCTAATATACTAAGATTGAAATATTTTCCATAAATCATGGCTGCCATCAGAGAGTCAGTTGAGTCTAGCCTGTTGTCTACGCGACATATCTAGTCAGCTAACTTGAGGTTTGTTGCTTCATTTACATATTGTCCTATTTGTATGCAGCCCTTTTCACATAACTAGCAGATATTTAAAAAAAAACCCACACATATTACTACCCTGACTGGGTTGTAAAGAACTTTGCCGGTAATTGTCTCATGTCTGACTAAAATTACAAGCTAAAAAATATTTAATAGATTTTGAACTGTTATAGCAGTACTGATATCAATACATTTTGCAGCTAAATCATCCCGACCAACAGATATCTTCCTTTTGGAACACACTGAGGTCTAACTGTTTTGCATATTTACAAACACACAGAACACGTGTGGGATGAGTATGAGAGTTGGACGTAGTTCTTTGTAATATTATGGTGTGCAAACTGTAGGATGAGAAGGAGGGGCAGTCCAAGCATTTTGTGCCAACGTTCCACACAGATTTTGATTTGGTGTTTAAAGTGATAATTTTCATTTTGTATGTATTAACTAAAACTTGTAATTGTATACTCTACTTCTGTAAAGCAAATCCTCTAATGTTCTGTTATTTCTGATTAAAGATTGGCTCAGCTTCCATTCTGTGTTTTTTGGAGTCACTGCATGACACATTCTATTTTACAGTTAAGATCTTACAGGCTAAATCTATTCTGACTAAGATAACACCTTTATAGCCTCTTCTTCAATCTTGGCACAAATCACTTTAATTCAATTCAATTCAAATCAGCTTTATTGGCATGAATTTATAAAATCAATATTGCCAAAGCTACATATATATTAGGATAAATAAAGGACAATTAATTTCATACATTTCATTAAATAAATAAAACTGTAAAAGTTGTGTTTGTGTGTGTTAATAAAATATATATATATTTTGGAACACAAATTTTTTATTGAATTTTACACAGGCCTGATACATGGCTGATATATTTTGCATCAAGATACAGGAACATGTAAGATACAGGAACATACAATTGTCCTGGAAACAAACTCCGGCATTATAGTCCAATGACCACAATCGGACGGAGCAGTGCGTATCGATGGGAGTGGGTGAACACTAACAAAGATTATTTGACCACATTACAAAGGTATCACAGTATAACAGGGTTCCGTTAAGACAACCAAGTAAATAAACAAATCTTAGTCAGATTTATCACCAACCTTTACATAGTCCCAGAACCTTTCCCAAAGGGTCACCCCTCCCCCAAGGTTCAGCATACATTCATAAGATGTCATTTCCGCCTTTGCACTGGCCCAGTCCTCCACTCGTGGGGCATATGTTGTCTTCCAGTGTCTAAGAATAATTCGACAGGCCTTTATTGTGCCCACGGAGACAACAGAGAACTCACCTTTGGATATACTGGGAATTTGATATTTATCCCCCAATAAACACAGTTCTGGACTTGATGGGATTTCTGAACCAAACCAATTGCTTAAAGTATTAAGAATCTGAGTCCAGAAGGGCCTGAACAAATCACATTCCCAGATACAGTGAAAAAAGGTTCCAATTTCACCTTTACATTTCCAGCATAAATCATCATTCAGTAGTTTCATTCTATACAATCAATATGGTGTGTAATAATATCTATGTAATATTTTGTATTGAGTGAATTTACCCCTAGCTTCTCTCACGTATTTACCGCAATGAGCCACAATTTTTGCCCTTTTATCACATTCAATCTCCCTACCGAGATCCTTCTGCCAAACCATTTTCATATGTTCAGAGTCATTGCTTAGAGAGGAGTTAGCCAATTTATAGAAGTATGAGGCTTTATGTTGTCCAGGTGTTAGTTTCATATAATTTATAACAATATTCTCAGCAATGTTGTACGGCTTAGAGGTAATGCAACTCCTTATCTGCAGATACTTAACCCACCAGGTTAAATCTCTCTGATAGTTTATTATATGATAGGGACACACCATCTTCAAATAAACCGCCAATGATACTCAAGCCTCTTGAGTGCCAGCGTTTCCAGTAGACAGACTTCTTCCCAATACAGACAGCAGAGTTACCCCACAGTGATGAATACCCTTGCATGGTGTGTGTAAGTTTAAACACTTTGTGGGCTCTGAACCAGACATCCTTTGCGTGTAAAAGTACCGGGTTTGTAATATTAGACCCTTTTTGGTACAATACTTCCATGGGTCTAAAAGGTAAACTTATTGCCTTTTCAATATCCATCCAGGCTTCTTTGTCCTCGTAACATGCCAGTATCTTGCTAATTTAGCCATCTCAAAGGCCAGGCAGGCCAGCCCCCCGTTCTCTTTATGTGCACATAGCTTTCTCAGTTTAATTCTTGGTTTTTTACCATTCCACAAAAAATGTTTTACCATGTCATCAAGTTGTCTAAATTTAGTAGATGGTATTTTAATTGGAAGCATCATTGCCACATAACTAAACTGCGGAGCAATTAACATTTTTATGATGATAACTTTTCCCCATAAGGTGAGTTTTAATCTTCTGAAGTAGGGGGTTAAAATTCAGTGTCACTATTTCATCTATGTTCTCTGAAATGCTTGCGCAACCACCTGAATTTAAACTTCTCTGCCATAGATGAAAGACACGATTTGGAAAGTGGCATCGCTTCTGATTTACTCCAATTGATGGCATAGCCTGAAAATTTAGAAAAGGATTGAACGGTATTCATCAACTGTGGTAAAGATGTTAAGGTGTCATAAACTACTGCTAAAATGTCATCTGCATATAGTAATAACTTGTGTTCTTTACCTCCACCCTCAACTTCTCTAATTTCACTGCTAAGACCTCCAAGAAAGAAATAAACAATAATGGGCTCAACGGACATCCCTGGCACGTGCCTCTTCAATCCATTTGTCATCACTGCTGTCTTAGGTTCCTTATACAACATTTTTATCCATTTAATGAAATTTGAATTAAAGCCGAAATGGGACGGGGTGGAAAGCAAGAATTGCCACTCCACATTGTCAAAGACCTTCTCCACATCCAGGGAAATGGCGATAACTGGGGCGTTTTGAAATCGGCTTAGCTACATTAAGTGTAACAAAAGTCTGACATTGTCAGTTGAAGTTCTATTTTTCATAAAGCCTACTTGATTGGGGTGAATAATACTCGGCAATACCTCCTGTAGACGTGTAGCTAAGATTTTAGTCAGAATTTTACAGTTGAGATTGAGCAAGCTTATAGGCCTATAATTGGAGGGGTCCGTTACATCCCTGCCTGCTTTGGGAATCAGTGAAATCACAGCTTCATTAAACGCTGGGGCTACTTAACCTTTGTCAAACATCTCCTGATATACCTTACGTAACACCGGAGCGAGGATATCTATAAAGGCTGGGGAGGCCGTGGGCGTGTCAGTATGCTCATCCTCTTGCAGCGAGCTTTTCCGGGCAGCCATGCGAGTTGGGTTTCTGAAGTATTTTGATGTCGCCATCTTATCCAGGCCTTTCTTCCACCGCAAATTTTGGTATGGTTGGTTACAGAGTGAGCACAAAATTACTATTAAGTGTGCGTCTTCACATTTTAAACTCAGAAATAACTTGTGCAGGGCGAGACCTCCTCTACGGCCATCTTGGTTGCTGCACCCACGTGAACTTCTGAAAATAATATGTTAAATTAAAATAAATAAATAAAACAGTAAGCGCCTTTAAATACTTTTGAATTTTTAGATATAACATGGTGCCATGGGTCTTGTGTTGGTCACAAATTTAATCTGCACAACTTGGATATCTTTAAAGGTACTGCCATATACTGTATATAATGTGTGGCTCAGCTTAACAACGTGGTGTACTTCAACTATTTGCATTTCTGTGTGAACATTGTGTCGGCAATTGAAATCTTTTCAATGATAACAAAATAATTATTTGACCTGCACACTATATCTTGCCTGTTTTGATATACAATACCAGTCAAAAGTTTGGGGTCACCCAACAAAATGGCATGGTTTATTTGAAACCTCACACTTTCTTGATTAAATGATAGATGGTCACTTCATATGTACCATACAGTCAAGCTGCTCCCACAATAGCTCAATAGGGTTGAGATCTGGCATCTGCGCTGGCCACTCCAGAATACCAGAAGAATGCTTCTTCCATAAAACCAGTTTGCGCTGTTCTGTAAACACAGCAATTCACACATTTGTATGAGATCAGTTAGTCAAAACAAACACCGACTATTTTTAGAAGAAAGTTCTTTTTTTGAGGCAATAAAGCCACAAATGCTGATGCTTCAGATACTGAACTATCCTAAAGAAGGCCAGGTTTAATGCTTCTTTAATCAGCACAGCTCTTTTCAGCTGTGTGCTAACATAATCACAAAAGGGTTTTCTAATGCTCAGTTAGCCTTTGACACAATAAACTTGGATTAGCTAGCACAATGTGCCGTTGAAGCACAGGAGAGATGGTTGCTGAAAAGCGGCCCCTGTAGGCCAATGTATATATTCCACTGAAACTCTGCCCAGTCAAATAAATACTCAAGTGAATGACCAAGCCATTTAAAAAGGCAAATGACACAAACACACAGGGCCTAGAGCAGTGGTCAGTAATAGGCGGCCCGCGGGCCAAAATTGGGCCACCAACAATAATATCTGGCTCGTGACCAGATTACTTTAATAGCAGCAAAAAAACAACAACATTATAGCGGCTGGTGCTGAAACAGATCTCAGTCATGACAGCAAAAGTTACTCACGTAATCACTTCTTCTTAAGTGATTGTGCCTACAAAATAAAATCTTTGCAGCGCTCCTTTATGTTAATTGAGAGCTTTTACTTTGAAAGGTTCTGAAGGAAATTCAAAAAAGCCTCTGGCTTGATTGACACTCCTCTGAAAAAGCCATCAGAAAACGTGAGATCGGATTCCTAGAGTTTGGTAATAGCACCAGTGTACTTCGATAACGTTTATGGTGCTGCCAAACATGGTGGGGTCTCCCAGCTTTGCAGAGGCTCGCTGTCAGGAGTGTCTTGGGAGTAATGAAGATTTTGATTCCATGTCCATGAAAGTAGTGGTAATTACATAATTTCTTTTTGTGTGAAGTGGAAGACTGTCAGTGTAGCGTCAGTTACTGGAATCCAGCTAAACCTGAAACCTCTTTTACATCTTTGTCTCTTATCATCTCTCTCATGTTGAAGTCTGAACTCCACAAGCTACACTTTATTGAAAGCCCCTTTATTTTCTCTCTTTCCTAATTTAGATTATTTTAATAAAGCTGAAAGAATCTGAATGTTTAGATAAGGTTGCGGTGCCACACTAAGAGTATGGCCATGAACTTCTCTCCTATAAGATGTCCCTTCAGACTGTGTTCACCTAACCTCCTAATACTGAAGTGAAGAAGAGGACGCTTCAGAGCAGAACAGACATCTTTCTCCATCAAACAGGTGAAAATTGCACATATTTGTTGTTGTTACAGTTTTTTACAACTGCTTACACACAAAATCTTTACATATCACACGATTTTTGAAACCTCTCACTCAAAGAGCAAAACTACTGTCACAATCCAGTCCTGAGCTTGTCTGGGTTATATGATTTTGGCCATGCCTTCCCTGTGGGTTTTGATTTTGGTTTCTCTGTGTCTGGGTTTTGGGTTTCAGTCCTGTCTGTCTGTGGTC